CAAAATTTGTTTTTAGAAACTAAATTATACTATAACCTAACAAGTATATAATTCACAATCACACGTTTAATGACCATATAATTGATTATAATTAGAGAAATGGCAACAGAACGTAAAAAAGTTGATGCTGAGCGCAAATGGTTTAATGGCGCTGAAAATATTCAAATGATCAGTCTGGATGAAATGTGATTCATTGGCCATTCTTTTGGTTTTTAACTTTCTAAAATACGTGCGGCCCGCCAATGACTTGCAACCTTTAATTTTGGCTCGCGAACGACAAAAGTTTGCCGACCTCTGGTTTAGACTTTGGAGACAGTGAAGTTATACAGTCATTCCAACGCAAATCTTCGACCCACTGCCCTATCTCCCTCCACTTTTCTATTCTGGATCCGCTGCTCTGTCTCCCTCGCCTCGGCCAACTGCTCCAACTCGCTCAACCTTGCCATCCTCGACCCACCGCCTTACCTCCCTCAACTTTCGTATCCTCGACCCACTGTCCTATTTCCCACAACCGTCCTAACCCCTTCACCTTTTTATCCTCGACTCATTGCCCCATCTTCCTCAACTTTTCTATCCTGCAGATACACCCTTGACCCACTGTCCGACCTCCCTCAACTTACTTATCTTCGACCCACGACGCTAAACCACTCAGTACCTAAGCTAACGGCGCTACAAATGAACTTTACCATCCTACGACCAACTTCCATGTGTTATACTGGTCGAGTATGCCAATGAGATGATTCAATCGTACGCCGACAAAACATGATTAACGGCATTCGTAAATGTAAGCTGTAATCTCAATTAATAATCAATAACCATAATTAATGGCTTAAAAATGTGCTACTAATTAGGCTAGTGATGGCATCGGGTTTAGAGTCACTGTTTTTAAATTTTAACAGGCCATTCGGTATCGACATATCTGAGTTCCTTTTCAGGAACTCATTCAATGTCGCCTGTATTTCCGTGCAAGGCAAAACGATGAGGAAATAATCAAATATTTGCACGCTTGGTCTTTTTCAACGAATGTTCTGCCATATCATGTTGTATATACAAATTTCTTTTACGTGACTGAGAAGGCTGAAAAGTCAAAAACAGTCAAAAATATAGATCGCTCAGTGAGTGTGATCCCTTCCAAACTATTTTTAAGCCATGAAATGTTTTGTCGTAGCTAGCGTTGCCAACTGCCCTTTAATTCAGTATATAGTCCCAAAATTGAGCTTATCTTATCTGCAACCTAATGAAGTTGCTAAGGACGCAGTTTGTACGTAATCTTTGGCATCGCTTTTACTTATAAAATGTTGAAGAAAAATACTTTATACGGACCAGAGCACTATTGCTTATTTCGGATCAGCATCACACTGTCACAAAACTTACGAAATGGCGAACTAATAAGGGCATAAAACGGCTTGTTAAAATTTCGAAAACTGTCATCCTCAACAAGAAACCATAAGTAGCCCAATTAGTAACACATTTTTAAACTGTCAATTATGGTTATTGTTTACCATTTGAGATTCCAGTCTACATATACGAATGCCGTCAATCATGTTTTGTCGACGTACGCGGAGGCCCTAAGTGTCTTTAACGGAGTCCTGAGGCTCCGTACGGAGCACTTTGAGAACCTAAAGTCTACGTAGTAGGATATAACAATGCGAACAATTAAGTAACGAATGTTTCCTCGACTTTTGATCTCTTGAATTCTTCCTCTTTACACTTTACCATTGCAAAATTATTGGTACTTATTTCAAGAAGTTTAGGACTTATATTTACCAAAACACAACTAAAATCTAACAAATAACACGCAAAAACCGACAAAACGAGGTAATATTCACAACCATGAAAATCTGTCTGAATGGCAAAAGTATCCGAGCGCTTCTGAATCGTTTATTGTTACTTCAATTTTGCACTTATGCTGATTGGCCAATGTCACGGCAGTAAATAAGGAAGTGTATACTCGGGGAAACTTTCATAATTATAATCAGAGATTTATAAAGTTGTTATACATAAATACGCTACACAGACGCGATGCTCCTATTTTTGAAAGATTTAAATTGTTTCGCGACCCAGAGCGGAGGGCTTCGCGACCCAAATTTGGGTCGCGACCCCGTAGTTGCGGACCCCTGGGTTATATGACCCAACGACCAGACATATTGCACACCGCTGCTTTAGACTATCGAGTATTTGAAAAATCATCAGATAAACCTTCTTGAAGTCAACTCACGTTGTGAGCCCTAGGAAACCAAACTTTTTCCAAAATTTTATGCATTTTTCAAAAAGATTTTACTATCGGAAAGGACGTGTTTATAATGTGTGGATTGCATGGATTAAAAGACGTGTGTATAAGATTTTTTGTTGAAGAAAAGGGCGACATGTAGTCTATGAGAAAGATATTACGCGAAAGACTTTATAACTCATGGCGCATCGTGCTAGCTGTTGGGAATACGCTTTTTACAGCACCTCTGATTTCCGTAGGGAAAATTATGGAGTGACGGTTGCTGGACTCCTCGCCACGCTCCACCACTGAGTCCACGCATCTGAAGCAAATAATTAACTAATCCCATACCCGATATGGACTGATAATCGACAATCGTACGTGAGGCCACGGTAAATATGCACGGCTCCCCCGGGATAAATATGCAAATTTTATCCTATGTGCCAACCAACGACGAAACTTGGGCCCCCCAGTGCTGAGTTTATACCAAGCTGCTTTCTAATTGTTTCAAACAAGTTTCTGAGTTATATATTTTGTAGACAAAATCTTGCATTTCATCAAACGTATCAAACGTTATGGAATTGTTTAACTGTTTTCAACTTTGGCAAATTTTTGAACTTCAAATACATTTGTGCAAGTTGAGTTTAGCTTTGCAGTTATCCCACATACACTTCTGAGCTGTTTTTTTCATGGTATCTTCCATGTAGACATGTTTGGGGCGAAGACATCAAACACAGCATAACGAGATTGTATAATAAAAAAGAGAGCAATAATCAGGACGCCAAAACCGTTTGATGAAATGATCGGCGGCGGAAACTGCTTTCATGCGTATAAATAAGACTTCCCATGGATTATGGTGAAACAGCAAGACTTTTGGGTGAATATAAGGTTCCATAGGAGTAATTGGCCCGTCAACCCCAACAACAATAGTTCAAGAAAACGATTCACCCGTACTGACTAATCTGCATAAAGATACACTAAATTATTGGACACGAAGTAAATCTATGAATCGTTTGGTTAGAATGTTGTTGTTGGACACGAAGTGGACATAACGATCGTTTCAAAATTTTGTTGTTATTGTTATTTGTCTCCGTCTCCATTTTTACAAATCGCTTTTCTCTTCGAAAACTGGACCAATTGCTTTGAAATTTTCAGTGGTTAAAGATAAAATTTTTCTCCAGAAGGCTATTACTTTTTTTTCGCTATGACGTCATCAAAATTATTGCCAATGGGTGGCGCTATGTGTCCATATATTTGAGCATAGCTCTCTTGTTCTTGATGGTATTTTCCTCTTGTTGTGAAAAAAAAACTCTTTTCTTCTCAACTTCTGGACCAATTTTTATTTATTTCAAAATTGTCTGTGGGTTCCATGTGATTCGAAATTTTGTGTAATGACTGCTTCAAAATTATTAAAAAATATTTGTAGCTGTTTTTCGACCTCTCTAGTGCTACTCTCTTGCTACACAAGAGTCGGTACCGGTACTGTAACAGGTAAGGTAGACTACTGTTTCGCTTTAGTCTTCGTGCCCATATATTTGAGCATCGCCGTATTTGTACCAAGATGGCGCACAACCTGAATGTACCGAGATGGTGCACAACCTGAACATAGTATGTGTACCTGGTTAGGGTTCAGGTTGTGCGTCATCTTGGTACACATCCTTCCCGAGCGCCGGTTTAAATATATTCCACCCGTAATTTGACCATTATTTGCATTAAATATAACGAAAGTCTATGTCGTTACATGTTGTAACTTGCGTGCGTTTACTTTTGCGTCGTTGTGTAGACTTCAAACATGGTGCATTCTTAATCTTGCTAAATTATTGGTTAATTTAACCCCGAGTTACTTCAGCAATAAACAAATAAAAGACATTCGTAGTTTATTGCGGATTACTCCCTTTGTTTGACAGGCGCCTGATATAATATTTGGCAGCAGTTTACAGGAAAAACGATTCTGCTGACGCGCACAAACTAATTCAACACAAATGACGCAGATACACACCTCAATTTTTTGTGCTTTTATCCGAAAAGAAAAGGGTTTATTTGATTAGGTGCACGAAATCTCATCAAAGATTGTTTTTAAAAATGCCTCCAAAATGAGAGGATGCCTGTGGCCTTCGTAGCAACGGAAAAATTGTCGGAAAAAAGAGATCACATTAGTTTTATATTAAATTATTTTCGAGCCAATAGCAATGGATAACATTCCACCTTTGATCTGAAACTTTCCACGAATATATTAACAATCCAAGTGAATTAATCAAGCTTTATTAAACATATAACGAGAAAAAAACTGGCCTTATTTTATTCATCCACTTAGTATTTATAAGTGTCTTTCGACCAAACATAAAAAACCAAGAGCTGCAACGATTCATGTTTATTGAAATTAGTAAATGTGTAGGCATGACATATTTTAGTAGCAAATTTGGTCCGGATATATTTGAATCACCCATAAAAATGTTTTGTGTTCAATTTGATTTTGAATCAGAAGAGAAAATTCACCAATATATATATAAATATAATGAACAGATAGTATAGGATTCACATGGGCGAGAAGAAAACCGATATGACGACTTACCATTATGCGTAACTTTTCGTTTCGATTCAACCAGAGTAACATGCACTAACTATTTCTGATAATTATAAATATATACAGAGTGTCCATAAAGTCTTTAATTTTTTTTCTTTAATTACAAAGGAATTTATTGATACCATATATTGTTTTGGCCCTCACATATGTATTAAATGAACAAAATATACTCAAACAATTACTGATTGAAAAACAGCAAACCTGGTTAGGATATATTTTGAGAACTGACTTCATACCAAAATTGAAATTGTAAATGGACTTTATTATGGACCCCCTGTATAACAATAATATATTAACTAATTATTACAAGACTATGTTCCCGTAAACGGAAAAAGTATTTACAATATAAAAATCTTTCAATGAATCAAGGATAATAATGGACCAATGATGCTAATAGCTAATGTACGCAATACAAACTGTCTAATACAAACTGAGTCACTGGTAGTGGATATTATTATCTCTGTAGCGTTAAGGTTTTCATTGGTAACTAGGTGAGTAGTTGTACGGGTGGTAACCGGATTATTGGAGGAGGTGGTGTGAGTAACCGGAGTTGTGCCCAACGGAGTCGGAGAAGAACTATCGATTGTAATATAGTAGTCGAGGCTGTCCCAGAAATCACAAAAATCCTCCAAGTACGCTTCTTCTACCTGATTATTTTGAGAGTCAATTCGGATATTTTGCCAGGAAGTAGACGCCTTGTTTTCGCCAAGAAAACCTGATTGCAGCGGAACGAAAGTTAACCCAAAAGGCAAAAACTGATTTATTTTATCCTTCCTGGACCAATCGTTATGACGGATAATTTTGCGCCCAACGGATCTGGAATTTAATATCCCCTGTGGGTCTTTGGAAGTTGCGGAGTCCACGTATTTTGGCCAGTCGGAAGACGGCTCAATGCTGTGTGAGGCTTCGTTTTGTGGTCCTGGGTTCGAAGGGTTGCCAGTTCGTGCAAAATTCGCCCAGTAATAATCGAACTGATTTGCAACTGCTGTATCCTCTTCCCGAAAGTCGTATCTGAATTGTATCAAAATAGAAATGGGGTGAATCACATTGTACATATATATATATGCATAAATTCAGGGCGGCAAAGTGGCCTGTTGGATAAAGCGTTAGATATAACTGTACTGGCATCGCAGACTACACATCCCAGGTTCAAATCTCATGTTCCTCTTCCGAATCGGGAAGATTCTGTTTGGCCCTTCCAAGTAATAGAAGCTTTTTAAATATTGTCAGATGTCTGTGTACGAGCGCCATATAAAAAGGTCCTAATGGCAAGTCGGGTCATTAATAGGGCTTATTACATAATGAGTCTCCGTTCCCAGATCCAAACTGTATACGAATGACATTTTTATAATGAGCAGTTAGTTGGCTGCCATCAAACGAAGTTTAATCTTTGATTGAACGAACAGCACTAACCAACCAACCAAGTGCAATCAGTGCGTAAGAAGTTTTTTTTTTCAATTGTCTTTGGCTTTCACCTAAATGGTAAAAGCTCACGCCTGCAATGGAAGAAAGGCAGAGAGAAAAGAAACTGATAGGGCGCAAAATGAGAGAGAGAGTTGCAGTGAAAAGTGGGAGGGTCTCGCTGTAATTTTACGCTGCCCTTCTTACATAATATAAATTTATTCGAGAGCTGCAATTATTAACATAACCTACCCGTAAAATGGCCCACTTCTGAATATAAACGGTGGTTCGCCTCCATGGAATGACATTCCGCACATTTCTGGAGGCTTCACAACATCTAAACATGTCGGCCCGTCCATTGGGTGGTTGTTGGCGTATAGAAACACGTTCCCAGATGATGAAGTATTTGAAGCAAATCTGAAAAAGAAATTTAATGTTGAGAAGAGAATGTTATCATCCGTATCACTGTATAATTGTATTATCGATTAAGAATAGAGGCTTATAATTTGATTTATAATTTTGCGTTATTTCGGTCAGACAGACTCCCAATATGTCGTCAGTTAGTTGCCTAAAAGCTTTAATTTGTTTTGTAATTTGTACTGTAGGCATCGCAGTGTGTGTAACTGTAAAATTAGTTCGGCCATACGAAAGATAGCAATCACCTCTGATCAAACGCATGAACGTAAAAATTGTCGATAAATAAGTTCAATCTTTGGAAATATTATTGACCTCGCCAAGAGAATTTTTTATTTTGAGCGGGGGTGTTTTTATGGCGGGGGTTTTCTACAAAAGATCCCAGATTTGTTGTATCATTACCTGGCCATAAGACGACTGGGGCAATCAAAAAACATGTGTGATGCCTCCAATCCTAAAATTTGTTTGTAATCTTTTGAAATGGGAGGACCTGAGACTGTGCTTTTATATTTTTCTGAAACCTTCGCTCCAATTTCTTCGCCAAACAGGAATCTGTTCAACGCCTGTTAAAATGATTAAATTTGTGTATTTTATGAAATTTTGTTACAACGATACGCGTTACCTGATTTACGGATGAATTTGGTTTGTGAAGTAATGGAGACCAAAAATAAATATTGTGCGATAATATCTGAAATCAGATATTTATTTTCATCGTGCAAAAATCAAATAAAAAATAACAAATACGTAATCGTGCATTAAGTAGGGAATCGTGCACGTGGATTTCATCGTACAAGAGTTAATGTTAGGCAATAAATAAAATAAAAATAACAAAAACGCAAAACATTGAATCCAGCAATTATCGAGGGGTCGCGAAAAACTCAGTGAGTCTCCAGTCAGCGACACCTTATTGCTGAATTCAAGCAGCAAGTATAGCGAAAGAACAATGTTCAAAATTTACCTTAAAATACACAGTTATGGAAAGAACGACAAATTAGTAACAGGGAGTAGAGCATGGGTGAGTAAATTAAGGCCCAGGGGTCGGATCCGGCCCACCAAAGTGGTTCATCTGGCCTACTTGTGTCTGCTTAAATTACGACTATAGTTTTATGGATATGAATTTTCGTTGAAAAGATCGATAGAATAACGTCATAATGACCCCAATTGTTACTTTGTGCTTCTTATTATTATATAAAGGTTAGCCTAGCTGTTTTAAGTAAACTGTTTTTATTCATAGTTTTTCTCATTGAGTTTTGACCCTCCGGCCGAGTAATCAAGTCTATTATCTGTAACTGACTCACTCAGAAATGTAATTGCCCGCCCCTGGACTAGAGGAATAAGAAGAACCGTTATGATTTATTTCGTATGTTGCGAATTTGCTCAACTTGATACGTCATCCTAAACAGCGTGCGCAATATACCTTTAGATTGCGTGTGCTGCAAGGCCAGGTAAATATTTAAAACAAACACCCAACACGAAACTTTACATGCGGTACACAAGATTGTCATCACAAATAAAAAACCACAGAGCGATACTCAAATATAGTAATACGCAGTCCAAAACGTACCGCAAACTTCACGACTCACGCAAATTGCCACGCCACAAATTGCGCAATTTTCGTCATCGCACATAAAACCAATACCATATAGCCCACAGAAATTCAAAGCAATTGGTCTCTTAATTAAAAAGAAAAACGATTTTTCCATAAAGATAGGAAGAAAAAAAACAATACGAACAACAAAGAATGATTCATAGGTACACCTTGTGTCCAAAACGTGCACAGAAGTTTGTACCTCAAATAAATAAATAATGATAATATTTGTGTGACCGAAGTTGCGAGGTACCTCGAGAGGTCTTCAAACGGCGACACCTACATCGCCGGCACAAGTCAGTGTAAACGGCCAAGCTATTGACTATGCAGTAGTTGTGATATTGAGGATATTTTTAAAAGAACATCAAGATTATTTAAAATGAATAATAATCTCGGAGAACATTCATGGTAAAACAAATGCTGAAAAATAATAAGAAAGAGAATAGAAAAAAGGGAAAATTGAGTAAATTCTCATGAAGGCCAATTTGGAGAAAGGTAAACACAACACAAAGAAAGCAAACAACGATCACGAAATATGTTTACAGCAAGGCAATTTTAAGAAATTATATACAAAAAACGAATAGAGAAATTAACAGACACAAAAGCGAAAGTCGAATGACTAACGCAATGTCGGCAAAATCCCGTCCAAATAGTAAATCAATTATATCAGATGCAATAAGAAGATGTCATGTAACCAGAAGCGCCCAAACTTTTCTGCTGCCCGGGGCGAGTTACGACAATGATGCCTTTTATACCAAACTTCAAAACAATTCGCGCGATAAACAAATTATAGATGCTGTTATATAATATATCAGGGTGGTCCACGGTTGTCGGCGTCGCGGGCAACAATATTAATTTTGTGTTGTTTGCGGGTCACATTAGTCCCAGATTTTTTACAAACGGAGAAAGTGCTGTCATAAATGAAGGGAATGGATGAAAATCGGTAACATGTCGTTTAAGTATATGTTTTTTTAATTTATTTTACACAACTTGCAGACATACCAAGCATTGAAGCTTTGTTTTCCACAAGCAAGTACTTTTTCTCCTATAACGAGGTGAAAAAATCTGTTTGAATTTGTTAGCTTTGTTTTCGAACTCATGTTTACAAAGCTACGTACAAATCACTGCAGATTGATTGATTACTAAATTTTGGCGATTGTTAGGTTGGCTACAGCTGCGTAATATCGCAATATTAATTAATATTTACTAAATATTTTGACACTAGACACCAATTTTAGTGCTACTGTTACAAAAGACAATGCGTATTGCTATGATGCTACGCTGATATTTAGTTGTAAAGTAGCCGCTATTGAGGTGTTGTTAACTTTTATCTCCGAAGGAAGAAATAGAATCAATTTGTGGAAGTTTTAAGTCATGTAAGGATTTCGAAATCGAATAACTGATTTATATATTAGTTTCGGCTAGTCAAGCACCGTTTTCCTTGTCAACTGACTGCCTCAATCTATGTCACTGGTAAAATCTACGATGGTAGTGAGTCTACTGACGCGACAATGTGTCAGAAGATCTTCCTGTTTATTTTTATGAGAATACCAAAATGTTATTTTTTGGTTATCACTAATTTTAGCTACATCAGCAAATGTGACGCGGGCCACAGGTAATGATACAGCGGGCCACGCGTGGACCGCGGGCCTGAGTTCGGACCACCCTGTACTATATAATAACAAATAGTTCAAAGGTCAAGTAACAGTGTATAATTATAATATTATTAAATTTATCACCAAACTAAGCAACAAATATACCCTTACGATGCACTGCACGGGGCTGCTGCCCCTAAGCCCAAAGGCACGCCCTGCATGCAACCCGTGAATTATAAAAACGGGAAAACCATGGATTGAAATATCAGGATACAACTTACGTCGTACATCGCTTCAGTGAAGGGAATTGGTTTCCCGCCAGGTCCTTGTTCGGGGATATAGAACTGAATAATCTCAAGTTCATTTGTGTTTGTACCGACTATCAAGTCCTTCTCTGTGTTCCAAGTCCCTTCTTGAAACATTTCAAACGGTTGTTTTGTGAATTCTACCCCATCTAGGACAGGTCGGAAAGCCTCTACCGTGCTCCATAAATCTTGGTCTTCATATAGAGACATTGGCATCGCAGCGACCAGCCCAGCGTTGAGTTGCTGTGGTGTTGCATCCCTGGAATGATATTGCGTATAATCAGGGTAGACAAGGTTTTTGGACCAGGGGCGAAAAATATTGCACACCTGAACTTGTGACGTAAAAAATCACATGTTATGAAAATTATTTACATTGTTACAAAAGCAAAAGTGGAAAACAAGAAGCTTTATGCCAAAACTAAATTTAATCGCAATCTCAATAAATTCCTCAATCTATTTTTAGCTAAAAACATCCAAATTTGGTTTTAGTTTGGTTCTGGCAGTATCAGGCATGCTAGATTGAATTACCCAACGTGCCGGATTGGGCTCGCGAGTCGTAGTTTGCCCATTTCAGGCGTGTAAGTAGAATTATAACTTTGAGGAATTTTTAACAGTACTAACGCTCGGTGAATTCATGTGGCGTACTTGAAAAAAAAACTGGCATGAGTTTAATATATTTATTTTATACTTTTCATGAAGAAGGAGTTTTCACTATTATTCAGGTACAGTTTTCAGCAAGTGTTAGCACACTTCTATCGCCAACAAGTCATTGTACAAGCGACAATCACGGCATGTCGCCAATCATATAAACAAGGGTGTTCAACCTTTAATACAGGAGGGTCAGATACAAGTAACTGGGTGAAACCACGGGCCGCACCTATATGCACAACAATTTTGGAAATTGATCTCCGATGACATGCGTTGTTCGCTTCGCACAAGCCAGCTGTTAGTAAATTGTAATGCCATTGGCATAGATAATAAATTGGACTCAGGTATAGACTTTGCAACGCAAATGGATTGGAATTACTCGCACGTACCAGATTGAACTAAATTAAAAACTCGTTTCGCGGGCCACACAACATTCGCAATTGACACTTCTCCGCGGGCCGCACGCTTTTCCCTTGTGGGTCGCATTTATGGGCCGCAGGTTGCACACCTCTGATATATAAAGAGAGCATTTTTGATGGGCGGGGAATCATTCCGGGTACTGGGTAGGTTCCGATTTACTAGAAACTGGCGATTTTTCTAATGTAGAAGGCTTTAGTACATTTTTCATGAACTGCCGTAGGTACATAGAAAGCCTTTGATAAACTGTCTGTTCATTTTAAAGAATCGTTCCATGTTTTTAATGCCCAGAACTATTACACAAGCAATGAAACTGGACTAGAAGATCGCAAACGAGATATGGCTTTGCTAAACAAATCGAAATTGGCGACTTTGAAATATTTGGCCACTAGGTACGCTGCTGTAAAACACGCACAAAACCAGTTATCGTTTTACGGACGATAAGCCGTCATATAAATCCCTTTTCTTCTTTTAAAAAATCAATCGGAGCGTTTTGGCGCTCATGACCCCCCTGTTTATCGTTTCGTTGGTATTTATAGCGTTATTTTGATTGGTAGATTCCAACTCCCATTATGTTCAAACAATTTATATATACTCAAAAAAGTGAAAACAGCCTTGAAATAACCTTATCAAGCAATGAAACCTGAAGGAAAAGAGAGTTTTCTTATGAATGTAAAGAGTTGTAGTTTTTCGCTTAGCATTGTGAACCCTCGAACTGCCCCATGTCCCCGCTGAGATACCTCCGACCCTCGGTTGGGAACCACTTGCTCGATATATGCACCAGGTAGTGATTTATGCTTTGTAGCCTGCACTCAAAACCAGTAGCGTTTTCTAGCCCGATGTGCATTATGTATCGGTAAAACTACAATCTAAGCCAATGCTGGACGGTGTGCTCTATAACCGATGCGCTGTATGATTGCAAAATACGGTACTTTAATTTGGAGATGATATTTATATCTTATCTATGCTTAATGTGTTATACAAAGTATTTATTTATACAATATACTCAATAATAGAAAAATTATTCTGATGCACTTTGAAAGCCGGGTGAGAATAATTTCATTTTAATTCTACTGTTTCTGGGCCGAATTGATAGTAAACAGAGATTAGCCAACAAAAACTCACATTAGACATTGTCGTTCATTCGCAAGAGTATCATTCGGGCATCCCAGAAACCTTAGTAATCTATTTGTAACTCTTTTGGCTTCTTCTAATGTTTGGTACTGAAACACAGCGGGATTGCTCTGCATTATTGCTCGATGAAAAAGAGGTTTGCTTGTTTCAGATACAAGATGGAACATAACGGACTGTCCTCCTGCACTGTTTCCAAAGATGGTAACCTAAAATATAAAGGTAGTACCGGTACATTAATGTAGCCGGTTAACGCAGGGGTGGGCAAGGGTTGGACCATTGGCCATGTAAGTGTGACGTAAAAAGTTACATTTTATGAACAAAATTTACTGAGTTACAAGAGCAGAAGTGAGAAACAATATGCCCTGTGCCAAAACGAATTCTAATCGCAATCTCAAACAATTAATTCCTCGTGTTATTTTTAGTTAAAAACATCAAAATTTGGGGTGCTTCCGAAGTATGTGTACCAAGATGTCGCACAACCTGAACATATTATGTGTACCCGGTCAAGGTTCAGGTTGTGCGTCATCTTTGTACACATATTTCCGGAGCGCCAAATTTGGTTTTAATTTGGTTATGGCAGCATCATGTGGGCCAGATTAAATTACCCAATTTGTCCCGCGTTTCGTACTTTGCCAATGTAAGGGTTAAAGCGTAAGACTTAGCCGTGCTGACATTCCAGGTTACTAGTCCCGGGTTCAAATATCACATCCCCCACCTCACCGAGGGTGTAATAATTTGAGCAGACAAAGTCGCACCGAGAAAATTTCTTTCCTTTCAAATAGTAGTTGCTCCTTAACATATCGTTTGATAACAGTATCTACATGGTCAGAGCCGTGTTCGGAGTGAAGTACTTGAGTAAGCTTCGTATAAAAACAAAAGAGCGATGCCAAAAGATATGGTCGCGAAATTCAATATGCCGTAGTACTGGCACCAGCCGCCACGATGTCATAAAAACAAGGAAACAGCCATTGGGGTGTCATAAAAGCGTGTTCCCTTAATTAAAAATTATAAAGCGCATTTTAGATGAAATATCAGGTCTCACATAAAATTTAGGAACAAATGAAAAAAGTAATAGTCTGCTAATAAAAATACAATCTTTAACTACTGAAGATTTCAAAGCAATTGGTCCAGTAGAGAAAGGCGATTTCGTCTAGTCCGATAAGAGGAAAATTCCTATCAAGAACAAACAACATAATAACAAAACAATCCATAGGTCCATATCGTATCCAATACCTTAAATTATATTATAATCTTTGTTGATTTTTTATGCTTAGGAACATACGTTCAACCGAGGAGTCTTTTCAAGTAGGTAAACGTGTACAACCATACTGAGGTTAATTGGTAGGCAATTTTTGGGGCGCTCCAGAAGTGTGTGTACCAATATGAAGATAACTAATTTTGTTCGCCCCTTTTACATCAAGTTGTGTGAAAGGACTGAAACCTATGTGCAGGGGGTATAGACACTTGGCTAACACAAACAGTCGCCAAACTCGTAATAGAACTAAAATACCGAAAATCGGAAAAAAATTATGGCCCAACCCTAACATGGTACACACATTACGAGAGTACCCAAATTTGTACATTCGGGTTTAACAATTAACATACTTACGTTAAAATGATCAATCATGCTTACCATGTTCGGATCTCCGCCAAACTTTCCAATATTATCTTGCACCCATTTCAATGCTAACTGTTGATCCCTCAGACCTTGATTGCCCCGAAGCATGTCTTCGCCTTCTCCGTGGACAAGAAATCCAAACGCTCCTAAAACATAGAAAATAGAAAGTTTATTCATCATAACAAAAGATTACCAGGCTCGAAGTGCACCTGTGTACCGTTATGCAACTACTCAATTCCAAATACACAGCAATTCAAGATGGATGTTTCAAATTTTCCTCAAGAAGTGTGAATCATTTTGCTACTAAAGTACCAATCGCTATTAAATATACACTCAGCTACCTCAAGATAGAGGACTTATACGCGTTTCTGTTTCTATATTTCTCCGATCTTTGCAGGACACATTATTATTTCCCATATTTTGCTGTTTTTAAAATTCACAGATACACCATCATATGATACTTGTTACATATGACACTCTACGCAATTGCTAAATAATTTGGCCTGAATTGGCATTAAATAAACTCAATTTTTCTGGCATTGCGTTAGCAATAATGGTTATCTGAGCGTACATTATACGCTTTGCTTTCCTGTTCTAGTAAATCTCGTTCGAGACGAGTACAAGTGAAGGCATTATTTAGCCACTTTGTCATATTTCCAACCACGCGACGAGGTAAAGCTTTTATCAACTTTCTTCATAGCATTAAGAGGGAATACTCAGTGAATCAATTGCTAAGTACTTACCAAGTCGATAATTAGCAGTTACAATAATTGAGTTCGTCTCCATGCTAAACGTCCTTGATTCAAATTCTGGAACTGTTGCTCCTCCGGCGAAGAATCCGCCGCCGTGGAACCAAACCAGTACTGGACGGTTCTGACTGGTTGGAACTGAATTTACAAATTGAACTGACTGTGGGACGTTGATATTTAAAACGAGACAGTCTTCGTTAGTCTGTAAAGATGCAACAAAAAATAAATTAAGCACGGAAATTGGGAATCTTATGTACAAAACCCCGCCACTAATGCAAAAATATGAGATTTGAGAAAAGCACCCCCGCCAAGTTTTGGAATAAAAATTTAGTAATTCTTCAGTTAGGTTTAGAAATGATTTGAAAATTGTTATTTCAAGCTGCGTTTCTAGCTGTATAATTACTAATTTTCTTATTTTAAGCGTTGGTGGGGGTGTGTCTTTTTTTGGGCGGGGGCCAGATTGCAAATTCAAAAAGCAAATACAATCCCCTATAAAACATTGCTACCAAAACACTGATTATTATTACAATAATAAAGTTTACGTATATTTTATATGTAAATGGAGGTGACCGTACATTGGAACCCATGTCTATATCCGCGGGTTCAATCTATATGCGGGTGCTAAAACCCATGGGTTAGGTTAGTATGGGTTCAAACATTCGTGAAACAAAACAAAAAATTTCATAGGTGCAATAGTACGCAGGTGCAATTGTCGTGGGTTCAAATGTACGTGGATTCAATTGTAATGGAACCGTAAATGAAAAAAGTGTCTAAATCTAGAAATCCGGTCGGGCAAAACGTTGCCACGGGCCGGAGGCGGCCCGCAACTTGCACAGGCCTGTTATAGAGGCTCGAGGAGTTAGATTGTCTACTTTAAATTGTATCAACTATAAATATGCATAAAATCAAACTGGCGAACCAATATGATCTTTGAAGTGTCGGAAGTTTTATTATAGTGGAAATTCAAGGTATTCGAATATATTTTAACAATGCACACACTATCGGATTTTAATAAAACCTTGCGGAACCCCTGGATTGTGCTGGAGGAACCCCGGCTGAAAACCACTGGTCTCGAGATAAATATTCACGTAACACGAAGACAAATTTCTTGTTTCGTATTGATGAATACTATTTCTTGTTAATCATTAGGCCGATACAAATGTGAAACTAGGGCACGGAAAAGGCTAAATCCTAGCATCATACAAACGCACATGTAAAACAAGAGAGCAATGCTCAAATATATGGACACGGAGGCAATACGAAGTAAACTGGGAACCGCAGATTTCACGACTTCGCCGGACCACCAGAAAGCAACGAACGAGAATGTGATACCACCACATGTGAGCAAAACGAATACCACAGACAGAGCCAACAACAGAATTATTTGAAATAAAAAAAAAGTAATAGCCTACGTTATGGATACAGACACCATTTGAGCAATTTTTCTTCAGTTGTTCGCAGACGAGTATGTCCGACACGGTTGCATTGATGCTGCTCAGAGGATTAATGATCGGTTCGGGTGGCTGATATCTGTGAAATTCGAAAGCAATAAAATCATCGGACCGTTATTTTATGCACGGAGAATCAATTTTCGCTTCTGTAATATAATAAAATTACAATAAATCGTTCTCTTAATTTCAGGAACCTCATAGTTACTGGAAATTTTATTTTTCATTTCACCAGGAAATTTCCATTTCACCAAGTCTACAAATTCACATCTATAGCATTTTCCAATTATTTGTAGATATCGTCTAGTTTTGGTATGACTAGAATCTATCCATTTTCTATGACAAATTAAATATTCGCACCTTAAATTGGGGGGCTTCAGATCAATTAGAATCATATCGGATCGAAGATACCCACTCCAAACCCGATTTGCCAACATAGACAACGGGTAAACACTCATGTCGCAGCTCTCAGTCATGTCTCGGGTTAATGTAAAAATAAATGTAATATATACCTTACATAAGTGGAAACTGGAGGTGCCCTTGCATTTTTGTTGGGAATTTTACCAACTAGCTATATCTCAACTGAAATGTGTTGTGTTGTTACTCTATGAAAATCGATCGTTAAAAAAATGATATTTTATTCTGGTTTGTTACATGACATGACAAAATACAGCCTCTTGTCCGGTTATCAAGCCAGGTCTGGTATGTAAATAGTTAATTACTAACATTTATACTAGATACACATACTGGGATGGTGGGGTAAGTCGTGTCTCATCTATTGCCCCCTTGCGCTAAACGCTGAGAATTTGTGTGTGCCACTTTGGTATGCGTTTAATTAATATCGACCCTAACTAAAATCACGCAACTGTTGACATCGCATACCGAAGTAACACGCATTTATGTATAGATCGCATATAAACAAGTTACCTGATGGGTGGTTGAGCATATGGCACGCTGTAAAATGCATAACTTTCGGGATATTTGGCTCCCTGCACTGGTCCAGATGTTGTAGTAATTACTGGACTGAGTTCAGTTGCTTTTGAAGAAATTTTAGCATTGCTATTTTCGTGATTACTACTGCCATCTAGCGGTTGTAAATTCGGCACATCAAATCCTTGCATGGCGAGAATTTGTCTGAATGCTCCTGCAACGTTTTCAGCAAATGAGAGATCTGCTTTACATCTCTCGCATATGTAAAAACATAAAAGTATGATGGCACATTTTATCTTCATTTTGTTATATTTTTCTATCTGAAAAATAACATATATGTGATTACATGCATTTGTTACTTTCCAATGAGAGCTCATAGAAACGACGGAAGAAAATCTTGCGCAACAATTTCGATTCCCGGGTCAAATATTTATTGACTCCAACTCTTGGACACTTATTCCCAAAAAATGTGCAGTGCATCTCGGAAATTTGGTAGCAAAACTCTAATTGACAATAAAATACCGAAACAAACACATCTCATTCGGTCTCTTTGAGCTTGTTGAAATGTTTTTTTATACACGATGCATTTTCACTGCGTTTGCTCAGAACAACCCCTATAAAGCAGACACTGATAATTAACGATATGTATAAAGCTACTATTATTTCGAGGGACCAGTATATTTCTGATTAGCATTTCGCGCTCAATTTATGTGAAATACGATTTCCAAAACACCTTTTTATTGTTGGGAACTTTATTTGAAATGATTCAATATTTCGAACAGTGAATCAAATTTGAATACTGAGTAGAACATTTTACAGTGGTTGAAATTTAGAAAATGTTTGGCACGTCTCTGAGTATATGCTATCATTTCTTCTGCAATTTGCACCTACATTGAGCCCAACAACTATCGTGGATTAATATTGTGAAATTGGCTTGTCGAACCTGGATTATGAGAAGCATTTTTCGACCCAATTTGCGTTGCATTTTTGTAAAAATGCTTTGGATGCCGCTTTGCCGCACTTTTGGATGCCGCTTTGGTATGCAATTTTACTTGCTTAATTTGATCTCAATCGCATATGCGTTTAATCTCATACACCAGTTGTCAGCCCTAACTAAAATCATGGAGAACACAAAAGCGCTGTGACCTCATATCAAAGCAGCACCCTCTTTTGGAGTCCTATTCTTAAATATCTGATAAATATTGTACAAATTGTAGAATCTCATAATCCAGCGGTTCCCAAACATTTTGTTCGTGCGGCGCCAAATTATCAGAGTAAAAACTCACGGTGCACTTAAAAATACTAGTTCTAAATAAAACTCGATTTTGTGATTCGTAGTGTGTAAAAAACATGTATATCTAAGCAATAAAGCTTAAAGGTCAATTCTTCTTTCTCACCTCTGCCTGATTTAAATTATGTTGGTTTTTGCGGCGCACTCAGCAACTCGCCGCAGCGTATATTACAAAATATCTGACCCACCCAATTACTGTCCTTCTTTGCTGCCGTACCTGCCACTGATCTGTATGAACAATCCTTATGTAGCAATGCATATTCTTTTATTGCAAAAATTAATGAATAACGAAGATACAACGTGTCGTGATTAAAACGCTCAATCATGTGGTCAAACAACACAAAGTAAATACTTTAAACACTGTTAAAACACTAATGAAAATGCTCCCATAATATGCCAACATATAATAGGCCAAAAATTCTTGGTATCGAAAGACTAGAATCAAGACTGCTCTATTGTTACCTATCGATCTCGATCGGGAAGTAGGTATTTTGTCTGTTTGTTACTTATCGATCTTGATCGGTAAGTAGGCTATGTTGATAGGTATATATATATATGTCTGTTTGTTTGTCTGTTGGATACACGCGATATATCACAAAGGCGAGGTTGAATCTGCTCCAAACTTTGCATGTGCATTCATCATATCTCGGACCACAAGCCTACACATTTTGGATTTATCATGTTGTATAATTTTTTGAGTGAGCATGAATATTTTAGGCTGAGAGTGAAGATTTCTAAACGATTTACGGACTGTGAAAAACTCTGACTTTTGTAAATAAAAATACAATAGTATAAATATAACATAATATTAGAACGTGCGTGTCATATAACAATGAACAGTAACAACCAAAATACACTTAAAACATGGAACAAGCATTCTAGCTCTAGGCGTTAAAAAATACGCCGAGCGTGATATTGCAAGTGCGCGGGAATGAGACTTCACTGCGCAAATGGTCTGGTGGGACTGCAGTTGCGTACCTTAAAGGAAACCTTGTTACCAAACCTCTACTGAGATATCTCATAATGACCAAACTTTGTTGCCAAATTGTATTTGCCGCACTGAAGCAACGTTAGCTTACGTCACGTTTTAGACTTTTGAGAAAGTTGCATTCTGTATATTTCCAATCTTTACAGACAAACCTAAATACATACATAGGGCACAACTCTAAATCAAAATTAAAACATGTACAGCTTTGAAGAACAAACTAAAATATGGCGCCTGGTCCATGATGAAAGAAAATCAAAAAACTCAATTTCAGAAAAATGTGACATGATCCACGTTGGTTTTACTGTGCCGATTAAATATTTATTTTTATAAATAAGGGTGTAAATGCTGAGATGTAAATTATGGGGAGAAACCGAATCTTTTGGCTCGAACATTTAACAAAAGACATTCAACTTAGTTAGCCCAACGTATAGGTCATTGGGTAATCAATCGTAACCCACAATTCGAAGGCATAACTCAAAAAAAAAAAAAAAAAACTAGAAAAAGCTGTTTTGAGAAAATGAAAAATATATATATATATAAACATATCTTTTTAAATTTTAAACTCCTGTGCCTTTATTAAAATACTTTGATAAATTTTGCTTCAAACTATGGCGATATATCAGCTTTAAAAGCACATATTTTTTTGTAATATCGTCGTAATATCTTGATATCGTCGAATTGTTGACTATTATTGTGATTTGTCTATTGATAGCCTTCGTTATACAAAAGTGTTGTTTTATCATAAATTCAGACGGGTTTCAATACATTTTACATGTGAAAAACTTGGCCAAGCTTTACGTTCTTGCGTGAATAACTTGTAGAGAATGAGAAATGGCTACTCTGGATTTTATGGTACTCCCGTAGTATGTGTACGTACCAGGTTAGGGTTAGGCCATAATTTTATGCCGATTTTTCTTATTCTAGTTCGATTACGAGTTTGATGACTGTTTGGATTAGCCAAGTAAATATACCCCCTGTCCACAGATTTAGTCCCTTTACACAACTTGATTCAAAGTAGAACAAAATTAGTTACCTCTATATTGGTACACACACTTCTGGAGTGCCGATTTTATTGTTTTTCGTTAATACCATGTTGAATGCCTGTTTCCATAACGGTGAATTATATACGACAAGCTGAGAAAATTGTTGACGTGTTTTCGTTCCGCAAGCGTAGACAGGCATTTGCAGTGAGACATTAATTCTTGCGCGTTTTCCAACACTATTTTACTCCATTCGCGAACGATTTACTGAAAACGGACTATTGCTGACTTGTTTGTACGTGGGTTCAAATGTAATGGAACCGTTTTCATTATATCTGTATTTGGTTCATTTCAATTGAATCGTATAAGTTGCATTATACGGCCATTTGGCATTATAATCTATTGTGTGAATATTTGACCCTTGAAGAAGTTAAGTTGGGGTTTACTCAGATAAATATGTGAAATAGTACTGATGAGGAACACGCAGATGGGCCATAAACTATACACCCCTGGGGTTATATCATGGCAATCAAGTATTGTGTCGATATCGCCTTTTTTACTCAACGTTGTCTTGATCTATTTCAAGGCCACCGCTGAATCATCGGCATCCTGAATCGTGTCTTTACATTTGAGCATTGCTATCTCACCTTGGACGTAGTAATGTAACTCCAATTAAGAATTTACGCAGAGCGTAATAAATTGGTAGGAAATACCGAGCTGAATAGATTTCAGTCAATTCAAGACCAGTAGCCCTTTACATATCTCAGTGGTTACTTGTATACAGTGACACCTTGTACGGGGGGGGGGGGGGGGGGGCGTATAAAATGATTAAGGTCTGACTAAATAACTTGGATAAAAAATGTAAACCCGGATTGTACTGGCTAGTTATTTGATTCGTTTGGAATTGAACCACACAACTGATTATTGACACTATTTCTCCAGAATTAAAATTTCAGTGAACCACACCCATTGTGAAACTTGTGCTAGAATCCACATTCCAACCTTTTGTTAAGGGGCAAATTAAAGAACCTACAGCTAGACCCCATCCGCGCCTAACCAGGAAGTTTCAGTTCTGGTGGCACTTTCTGATTGAGGTTTCTTGAAGAGAATTTGAACACGACAAGGATTAATAGCCTTCGTGTCCCTATTTTATGTTTTTCTTATTCTTCTTGTTGTTGTGAAAAAATCGCTTTCCTCATTAACAACTGAACCAATTACTTTGAAATTTTCAGTCGTTAAAGATTCCTGTTGTCGCTAGAAGTCTAGCTTTTATTTATTTCCTCATAAAAAAATTTCGTTGTATCATTTTTTATTCGTGAGAACACGGTTTTTAATCCGCCAAGTGTGACGACTGTCTTCCATTTGTCTCCTCTTTGTTTGTTGTAGGGGTTACTTTAGGGTAGGCTACACCCAATAAAGAGGAGAAATCTGTCACAGTACACTACCGGTACCCAAAGCGTCCGGCCTCGCTTGACCATGAGATCGCAACGAAAGCGAACGCCACAAGGAACGCAATTTTCAATTTTGGTGGCTTAACGCACACGAATCATTTTGCGAAATTGTTGTTGATGGGCTTGCTTTCACTATCCTCAAACCTGTGGGGCTCAGTGGTTTACCTAAAATATTGCCAATTCACTTTTCAAAAAGTATAGGAACATATTACTCCTCTGCTCTCGTAAATAACGTACATGGTTGAAATTCCGATTATTTTAGATTATATTACGAGTTTGGGGAATATCTGTGTTAGCCAAATGAATATACCCCCTGTCCATAGGTTTCAGTTCCTTTACACAACGTGACGGTCAGGCAACATAGAGCACTGGAAGTGCGTAAGCACAGTGGAAAGCGTTCGCCCGAGTATTGGGAATTTTTCCAAGTTGTATTGGGGGTGGGGGCAGTGAAACCGCCCCCTCAGTGGTGAGAAAACGTGTGGGAAGCCACGCCCATTTGAATATTATTGTTTTTTGCCGATTAGGAGCACTCGAAATTGGATTTCGAGATGATGATGAAATTTTCGGCCATCGGAAATTTGTGATTTCCCTCTCCCTGTAACGCTCCAGTGAGTTTGGAATGTTACGCTACTCAGAATGAAGATATTGAGAAAAAATATATATAGGTGCGTTTGGAAAAATTAGTTTAATGCTTTTTTCCTCACCCCCCCCCCCCTAGTCATGCTTCAGTGATTTTGGCTGATTGCGGGCCTCTGGAAGATCTTATTAAGAATCTAATGGCATGAATAGAAAAATTATTTGAATCAGATTTACGGTAGGTGGAATTTTTTTCCCCATCTCAAATTCATGCTACAGTGATTTTGGCTTATTGTGGGCCTATGAAAGGCCCTATTAAGGAACTAAAGGCATGAATAGAAAAATAATTTAAATCAGTTTTAGGTGAAATTTTTTTCTAGCACTCCCCAGTCATGCGCCAGTGATTTTGAGTCATATCTCGAAAACGGTAATAGATAGAGATGCCTTATTTGGGTTATATAGGTAATTAAAGTGAGGTTCATGGCAGAAAATTTTCGTCACGGTTGAGTGATCACGGACCTTAAAAGTGATGATACAAATCGCATCCCATTAGGAGTGAACGGTTTAGGAAATGGTATTTAAACTATTTAATAAACTGAAAAGGTAGGGGGCACCGCAAGGACACCGGTCCTCCAATGCTACCCAAACAAACATCTGCTTTTAAATTTACTAAACATATTTCCCCTCGCGGGTATCGTAACGACCTCCCCTGAATGTAAAGTAGGCGAACAAAATTAGTTATCTCCATATTGGTACACATAGTGAGTGTGTGTATGTCACACACTCCTGGAGCGCCATTGTTTTTACGGTGTATTCCAAGTCTTTACGGAAGGCACCGCTCAAAGACCACTTATATAAATCAAGAGCGCGATGCTCAAATATACGGACACAAAGACCAAAACGAAGTCGTACAGGTATGCGCAGTGGACTACTCGTACCAAGGTTTTAACGACTTCGACTGACCATTCATCACAATACGTCATCGCATACAAAATAACGAGTCCCATAGAACCTCCACAGATTTTTTTTAAATACATAAAATAGTTTTCCAGCGAACTTTTTGGTATTGGAAAAAGTTTGATGTTATCTGGACTGTTATCTGGTCCATGCAACATCATATACACCCTGTCTATTGGATACGCACCAATTTTGTGCTTGGCATGAAAATATAAAAAACATGATGCATTCTAGATTAGAATTATCGATTTCAAAATATCATCCTAAGTTTGGAAACAAGGTTTTGGGTGAAATCATGGCTCTCGTTGGACTTGAGTAATAGCCTTCTGGCGACTTCTTTTATATTTGAGTAATGGAAACTCGGAATTGAGTGAACTATTAGTTGCATAGAATATTAAGTAGATCCATCCTTGCATTTACCTCAATATGTAGGTGACTTTCTTTTTCAAGTTTCCGTTACAACAAACCAAAGAAGCAAAGGGCAAAACAAGAGAGCAGGATAAAAAAAAAAAAAAAGATGTGCCCGCTTACCCCGAACCTCAAATTGAAATAAATTGAAAAAAAAATACGTGGGTGTGTGGAGTCTAATACATTGTTTTAGCATAGGATATGGCAGGTTACGGCTCCTATACAGAATGAGTTCGTATATGCCTTTTCAAGTTATAATTGTTTGAAAAACACTTTCCACATTGTTGACAGATGTATGATTTTTGTCTAGTATGAATTTGAATATGGCGTTTTAATTCTTCTGGAGTTTTGAAAGATTTCTTACATTGCTCACAACTAAAAGGTTTCTTGACAGTATGGATCTTTTCATGCTTCTGTAAGTAATTTTTGAGCCTGAAGCGCCTACCACAATATTTACAAGCATATGGTTCATCTCTGTCATGTATTTGTGTATGTGTCCGTAGATTACTTCTCGTTCGAAAATATTTTCCACATTGATCACAAGAATATGGCTTTTCTCCAGTATGGATTCGAATATGGTTTTTCAAGCTAGAATGACAGGAAAAACACCTTTCACAATATTTACATTTGTATGGTTTTTCTCCAGTATGGGTTCGAACATGACATTTCAAATCTGTTTTAAATTTGAAGGCCTTCTTGCATTTATCACAAACATAAGGTTTCTCTTCAGTATGGATCCTTTCATGAATCTGTGAGTAATTTTTGTGACTGAAGCGCTTACCACAATGTCTGCAAACATATGGTTTATGTCCATAATGCATTTGCACATGAGCCTGTAGATTCCATTTTAGTTGAAATAATTTTCCACATTGGTCACAAGAATATGATTTTTCTCCAGTATGGGTTTGAACATGTCTTCGTAAGTTAGAATTTTGCTTGAAACATTTTCCACAATGTTTACATATGTAGGGCTTTTCGCCAGTATGGGTTCGAATATGAGCCTTTAAGTTCGACTGCTGCGAAAAACACTTTCCACAATCATTACAATTGAACGGTTTCTCTCCAGTGTGGCATCGAATATGACAATGTAATTCTTGTTTCGAATTCCATGACTTCTGACATTCTTTACAGACAAAAGGTTTCTTTCCTGTATGGATTCTTTCATGCGTCTGTAACTGCCCTTTTCGCCTGAAACACTTGCCACAATGATTACAAACATACGGTTTATCTCCACCATGAGTTTTTGTGTGGACTTGTAGATTACATTTTTGTCGGAAACATTTTCCGCATTGTTCACAAGAATATGGTTTTCCATCAGTGTGGACATGAAAGTGTTTTTTTCTGTGACTACCTTTATGTATTTCCAAAAAAGATTCTTCTGTAAAGGACTTCTCGCAGGTTTTATTCGGGTTCATCTTTCCATCAGATTCCTCCATATCAGAAGTTTGTGTAAATGTCTTTGACAAAGATGCAATTATTGATGAAACCCATGATTATGCCCGATGTCCGTTGAATATTGTTTGTTAATTACGATATATATATATATAAAACGCACATTGTGGATCACTCTATATATATTTTGCTGCACTGAAACAATTGAATAATCAAATATAGTATGAAAATATATAATATCGTTTGAAAATGAAAACTAGTAATTGTAAGCAATTTTCTTAGAGTTATTATTATGGGTGCTCTTCAAACGGGTTATACGGTATATCCAAGTATATATCGGACCATAAGTTGGGTATACAACTGATAAACGGGTGTACAGCATAAGTCAGGGATTCTAAATCCCAATATAATAAGTTATAAAATATCCAAGCGGAGACAATGCACATGAAATATAAAATGTCATCTACGCAAAGAACCGACGTGAGCGCATTGTTACATCACAAATTATATATATAATGCGATCACGTGTTTGGGTTGGTAATTTTGGCTGTCATGCACTTCACTTGATTTATGTTGAACATTATTGCTGTTGATGCTAAGGCTGTCAGTCAAGTTTATAACTTGTGGACACTAGCCTATAAGATTGCATGATGATTTTGCAGTACAATATTTATTGTTTATTCAAGCCCTAAATAACCATTGGTATTTGTAAGGTATACAAAGTTCTTGAAAAATTGTAGAAGGTATGTAACATAGCGGGGTTTTCAGATGATGGCGTTCGACGGTAGTATACTGTGCAGAAAGGACCGTCTACTTTCTCGCTAAACGACAGTTCATTTGACTTTTGAATATTGGCAATACTCGGCCAGTTGCCCCAGCCCACATGATAAGCAGTCAAGAAATATTCACGGTTCACTTTTGTATTTAACGCTCGGATACGATATCCAGACATGAAGTTCAGAGAACAGAAAAGACTGTGTTTACGATGCAACAGACACGACTTAAAAAAAGGACAAGCAATAGACCTTATTCATTAAAAACCCATCCTACGCGCAAAATGAAAAGTGTTGTAAAAAAAAACAATTTTAACATTAGCTCTTATGGGGAATGTGATCACCAGAGCAGAAATTTGCATTTTTTGTAATTTTCTAGATATCTTTCCATGTAGACTTGGGTAGTTTTGAGGATAGAATATTTTTTACATCTTTTTTGATATTTTCATCATGATAAACATGGTCAAGATTTTTGATAATCGTTCATTAAAATTTTAATGAACGCTGTGTTTCCGATGACGTCATTCTCACTAGACCATGAGATTCTGCCAACTCCGCCGTGCTCTGTGGGAATAGGATATGCGCTGCAAATGCGGCGCTAATGTCGTTTTGAATACGGTACCGGTACTGGAAGCGTTCCATTCCATTTCTATCACGTTTGTTTACTGGTTTTACGCATTTATACCTGTACAGCTAGCAATCATTTACTGAAGGCATGCTGACGTGTTATTTAAACTACCGGTACCGTACCAAGGCTGCAAGAGGTGAAAACTAAGTTATTTAGTAAATACTGAAATGAAATAGACCTACGAACAAAACTGTTGGCCAGCCTGCCAATAGGTAGGATAAGTTGTACGCAGTGTTCCCTCTAAGGTGTGCGCGCGCACACAGCTTTCAGAGGCTGCGCACACGCATAGATTCACTGCGCACAGATGTATTTCGATGTAATGTAACAATGTTCTCGGTTGGCAGGTTGAGAAAGTTTGTTGTTGGTCCATCCATTACCCGGTTAGAACGCCAAAATTTCTTCATTGGTTTTTGCACAAATATTAGTCAAAAAAGTGCGCACACACCAAAATTTCTGCGCACACATACTGCAAATAATTAGAGGGAACATTGGTTGTACCGGTATACAAAAAAGATGAATATATCCGACCTATAATGGTACAATACCGGTCTCCTAACTAGGTTAAAAAACATGACTGAATACGAGAGAGAGATTTATTTCGTCAACCTGAATACAAGCATTGAATCAATAAAAATTATATACAAAACACATAGTTATTCGGTATAGACTGGGGAGCGATACGACCATCACAGTCAGCTCCCCCCTGCCCCCCATGTTCGCTATCAAGATTAACAGTTAATTAAGATGTTCGAACAATTTAACAAAAACTCCTTGGAGGAAGGGTTGACTAAGTTACGGAATATTTTTGGATTCGGTTAAAAATGTAGTCCATTATTAAACCACTGCTTTTTTTGTAAATTTTCACTTAGTGGACACTTAGCAAGTGCGGCAGTTAATTTATAGAAAAAAATTGTAAATTAATAACAAATCAGTAGAAGTCAGCTCGGGTATTCAAACATGTGATGATTGGAGAAAAAAATGTGAAGTCACGTTTAGGATATTACATCAAACAACAATGGAAAAGGTACATTGGAATCAGTGGAAGCTTCATATGCTAATGGCATTAATGAAAAGAATATGCGAAATGAAGACTGAAGTTTCAATCTGAGACATTGGAAGACGCTAAAACCTTATAGACTTGATAGTGTGAAAAGCCTTCTCACAATGCAGTAATAATGGGACATATATATACAATATCATTATACAGGCTTTAAGTTGAACTATATGTTTGATTAAAATATCTATCTTTGCTAATAAATGCTGAAAACCATTTATTTCAATCTGCTGAGTGATTAGGGCCAGAAATTTACTGCAGGGACCATCACCAGGGCTGGATTTACCAATAGGCTAGGCAGGCTGAAACCTAGAGCCTCGAAATTCGGTTTCGAAGTTTGTAATTCTTTCGAAAACTTGACAAGTTTAAACCCTACGAAAAGTATATATATATATATATCAAATTTTTTCAACCACATTGTAAACAGCCATTATTGCGTCGTTTGCATCATAATAAGGGAAATTATTATTATGCGCATTCTGCTGGAAGTTTCTATGTTAAAGTATGGCTGTAGCGGTTGTTAGATCATAGAAATTGAAAGCAAAACTACCTCAAGTAAATTTTTATTCTTTCAATTAAAAATTCGCACCCATGAATGGGGGAATGAAAAGTTTAATGCACTCATAATTTTTAAATTTTAAACAATGACATGTGATGTTGTTTAGAGAGAAATTCTGAGCTCAAAAATATGAAGGGGCCTCTCCTGGTCTAGACTTGATAGTGTGAAAAGCCTTCTCACAATGCAGTAATAATGGGACATATATATACAATATCATTATACAGGCTTTAAGTTGAACTATATGTTTGATTAAAATATCTATCTTTGCTAATAAATGCTGAAAACCATTTATTTCAATCTGCTGAGTGATTAGGGCCAGAAATTTACTGCAGGGACCATCACCAGGGCTGGATTTACCAATAGGCTAGGCAGGCTGAAACCTAGAGCCTCGAAATTCGGTTTCGAAGTTTGTAATTCTTTCGAAAACTTGACAAGTTTAAACCCTACGAAAAGTATATATATATATATATCAAATTTTTTCAGAGTAGAAAATTTTGTACACAACTGGTTTCAACCACATTGTAAACAGCCATTATTGCGTCGTTTGCATCATAATAAGGGAAATTATTATTATGCGCATTCTGCTGGAAGTTTCTATGTTAAAGTATGGCTGTAGCGGTTGTTAGATCATAGAAATTGAAAGCAAAACTACCTCAAGTAAATTTTTATTCTTTCAATTAAAAATTCGCACCCATGAATGGGGGAATGAAAAGTTTAATGCACTCATAATTTTTAAATTTTAAACAATGACATGTGATGTTGTTTAGAGAGAAATTCTGAGCTCAAAAATATGAAGGGGCCTCTCCTGGTCTAAATCCAGCCCTGAACATCACCAATTTTGGGATAGGTACATTGTGTCAACATATGAACTGAGTTAGGCCATTGGATTTTGAAAGGTGTACCAGAAATGAACATAGTTACATGGAATTCATGAAATATATAACATCCAATAAAAACCAAAAGAGGTCTTTCGTTGAACGCCAGTTGTGTATCGGTATTCCAGTATTCCGTTATCACAAGCAGTTGGAGCGCATATCCCACAGAGCACGGCGCGTTGGCAGAATCTCATGGTCTAGTGAGAATGACGTCATCGGAAACACAGCGATCATTAAAATTTCAATGAATGATTCTGAAAAATCTTGACCATGTTTATCATGATAAAAATATCAAAAAAGATGTAAAAAATATTCTATCCTCAAAACTGGTCACGTATACAATGAAAGATATCTAGAAAATTACAAAAACTGCAAATTTCTGCTCTGGTGATCACATTCTCCATAAGAGCTAATGTTAAATTGTTTTGTTCACATCACTTTTCTGTTTGCGCGCAGGATGGGTTTTTAATGAATAAGGTCTATTAAATACATGCGGCAACACAAACGCGCAACACGGTGGAATAACGTAAGATTACGTATGGACCTTTCCCCGAGCATCGACTTCCTTGTTTACTTCGTGACATTGACATGCAAAAAGTGACATAACAATGCTCCCTTTTTGCATCTACTCAGACACTTTTCTCACTCAGACAGATTTTCAAGCGTGGTCGTAAACATTACCTCGTTTTTTCGCGTTTTTGGACTATATTCGTTAGTTTTCAGTTGTGTTTCGGAAACTTAAATATAAATCAGATGTCCATGCTTCCGAAAACAAACAATACAGTAAAACTAATCCCATACCCGACTTGAAATGGTAACCGGACGAGAGGCCGTGGTTCGCCATATGGATAAGCCGTCTTATCGGCTTTCCTCTCCCCCGGGATAAATATGTAAATCCTATCCTATCCAGATAACTCAATGATGACTCTATCTTCCTAGGATTTAATTTAATTGCAGTAATAAAAAATTAGTGTAGAAATAGCTGTGATAGACTAGGCTAAGATTCTTTACCGGTACTTTTAAAAAACAGATTGTTATATGCGATGGATCCTAATGATGGTTTAAAACACATATCCAGTTTTACAGGCACCATCTCGCAAAGGCACTCTTAAAATAGTCCCAAAAATTTTCCAATGGTAAAGTATAGGAAGAATTTTCCGGGGGTCAAAGGTCGTGGAAAGGTCCATTACGTTACAGGTATACCACGGTAAAAAAGTTTGAGGAACACTGATTACTATCCTATGTTACAATACTACCTGACCTGAAGACGAAAAAAATGAAAACGTCAGCACTTTATATTTCAAAATGCCAGTAACACTTGAAATATGTGGAGAGTTAT